GTTTGTAGGTTTAAAATTTCTAGTGTTTTTTTTTATTGAAGTATTTAGGATTTTTTGAAGCAATCGAATGTAATGTTATTTTTATTTTGAAGTAATGAAATTTATGTTTTTATTAAAAATATAGTTTTTATTTAATTAAAATGAAAAAAATTCAAGTGTGGCACCACTCCTTGGGTGTGGCATGAAACCACTCCTTGGGTGTGGCATGAAACCACATTTTTGTGGTAAAAAATGACGTGCCGCCTATGTGAGAGTGAAGGGAGTGCAACTTTTATGGCACCACTCTCTCCGTTTTAAAGGCCAGATATTAGTGAAATGTTCCAACAATCATCATATCATCATATCATCATACCTTATTATAAATGAAATATTTTTCTTTTCACCACATCCATTTGAAACTGTCAACTCTTCATATTTTCACATAATATACTTCACTTATTAACTTAAATATGTTATTAGTTCAAAACATTATCATAAACTTCTTCAATTATCAATATGATATACTTAATTTGTTGATTTCAATATAGTGTTAAATGCATAACTTAAATTAATATATCGAATAAATCCAAAAATAAAGTGTAAATTTAAAACTTAAAATAAAATATCAAATAAAATTGTAAAAAAGATCAACGTATATTTCTTTAAAATAGTTAAAAGGAAAATATTAAATACCATAAATTTAAAAGAACCTAAATCTATCAATCACCACATCCATTTGAAACTCCTAACTTTTCATATTTCAATATAATATACTTAATTTATTAACTAAAATATGTTGTTAGTTACAATCATTATCATAAATGGAAGACTTCTTGAGTTATCAATATGATATAATTAATTTGTTGATTTCAATATAATGTTAAATGCATAACCTAAATTAATATATCTAATAAATAAAAAAATATAATGTAACATTTAAAACCTAAACTAAAATATCAAACAGAGTTTTAAAAATTTAACGTGTATTTTTTAAAATAGTTAAAAGGACCATATTAAATACGATAAATGTAAAAGAACTTAAATCAAAAAGTCGAATTAACTAAAAGATATCTAAAAACTATTTTTGTAATAACTAAAATTCAATTTAGTTGATTTAAATTAATTTATAATAATAATAATAGTTAAAAACATAAAGTTATAAATCAAATAATGTTACATTACAAACAAGGGTTGATAATTTAAATAATCATCATGATAGAACTAAAACATCGTCAAAGAAAATTAAATATTAATAAATCATGCCAATAGTTGATTAAAATTGTTTAGAAATATAACTAATTTTATACAAACCGGTAAAAATGAGTAGAGACATTAAATGATTTAATTTTAAGAATTAGTTATAATTTTACATCAACTAAATGTAATAATTATTAGTTTGGTTTAATTTTAAGAATTAGTTATAATTTTACATCAACTAAATGTAATAATTATTAGTTTGGTGAAGAAAAAAAATAGGGTGTTCCTCAATTTAAAAAATCAAAATGTGAGGGTGGGCTGAGCCTGTCAAAATTGAAAGCAAGCAAAAATTTAAACATATGATCACCAAAAGTTTAACCGAATACACATGGAATTATATATATATATACTAATTAACAACTATGAACAGGACTTTGATATGATTGACTGCCTTTTTGTTTTTCATTTTCATTTCTTCTTTGCTTTTGTTATTTGTCTTTTTTTTTTTTTTTTATCTTCTGTAGTGGATTACACAGACCAAACTCAATTTTGGTCTCTTGGACACGCGTATTCTTTCTGTGTTCACCGATTTATCCTTCCACCCGTTTTTCTCTCCTTTACTCCACGTGTTTCCCACAGCCTAATCCACTTCCCATTTAATTTCTCCTCATTCGAGAACCATCTTCGTCTCCCACCTCTTCTCTATCTCGCCTGATATCGACAATTGATTTGCAAAGTATAAACCCTATCCTGTTTGCCCCCTTAGATGGTGCTGACCACCGAAGACGGCAGCGGTGGCGTCCAGTCGGAGGTGTCGACTCTACGAAATGCATCGGTGTACCCTTCACCGACTGTGAGCACCGGTGATTCGTCTTCATCGGCCCGTGCACGAAGAGTATCTCGACGAAGATCCCGAACCACCACCACTACCCGAAGAAGAAGCATCATACATTGAAGAAGTATATGAAGCTCTACAACCGGAACCCATCCTTAAACCTGCTTTACCGATCCCGGAGAAAGTACAACCGAAGAAGCGATTCCGCCCATTAAGCTCTAATTTACTCGACCCTAGCAATGTTGACGGTTCGGTGGACGATAAGGGATGCAAAGTTAATGATTCGAGTGCAGTTGAAGCTGATGATGACTGGCTTCGGTACTCTTCCCCGCCTCAGGAAGGATCAGTGGTTATTGTTGAGGAGGAGAAGGAAACGTTTATCTCGCGATATGTAACTGATATTGAAGGAGAATTTATGCATGTGACGGCGCCTGATGGCGATACTCCATCCAAAGGTAGAGTACTGTTGACTTGGCTAATTTCTACTGTTAAATTTGGGATTCACTGTTCGTCTTCATCGGCTTGTGGTCTGTACTATCTCCAGAAGGTGATTTCTCTGCTTTATCTTTCATATCATTGCTTTTCTTTAAAGAGATGTCATCAGATCTTCATTTTAAATCAGTATGAAGTTTGATTTAATTGCTCTTGTCTCAGTGAATTAGGCAATCATATATCAGAACGAATTACTGTTTTTGATTTATAACTTATTTGTTGCATTAGAGATGGTTTTCCATTCTCCGATGATGGACTCAGGGCTGAGGTAATTATGTGTGTAATGCTATGATAGGCTCAAGTATCTGTCACTCACTTTAACGTCAACATTCAAGTGCAAATGACAATACGAGAGTTAAGCAGAAAGACATGTCTGATGTCTCTAAAAGGCCAAAAGTAACCGGAAATGCTATACATAGAGTTTGAGTATTAAGTTCAAAAGATGACTGAATGTTTCAATAATACGTCTTGAAGCATTGAGATTAATGAGTGAACTCTTACATTACAGGCAAAATTTCTCAAAGCTTGTGGCACTTTACCCCAAACTCCAGATGAAATTCGAAACCCTGAGAAATTTACAGATTCACAACCACAAAATGGGGATATGGAAGCAACCTTTCATTCATGGATTCCAAACACTACTACTGAAAAAACATTAGAGAAGCAACCTGATCTGAACTTTTTGAAGAATGGGAGACTGAATCAGATTCTTCAACACAATCACCAATTAGGTAATTCATAGTTCCATACCCACAAAAATACTAAGATATCTTTTCACGGTCTACTTAAATAATCTGATTTGATGCACTTGTGTTTCTGTAGCTATATAGCATAAAAAAGGTCAGATAATTTGAACTTAAGCAGGCCATTTGGTGAGCATGCGTTCATTCCGTTTATTAAAAATATGAATAGTCAGACACTTAGATATGAATTTTTATATAAAGAATTCATATTTTTTTAATCGTTTTTTTCAGCTTTTTTTACGAACGTTTACGAACATGCCATGAGGAAAACACAAGAAAAAGTTAAAAGTGGATGAATCCAAACAAGATTGTAGCTTTCTGATGAACAGTGTCAACCTTCAAACTACAGCCGGCAGCTTGGTGTCATACTGCAGGCTGCAACTATTTTTAGATTCTGAAAACACGCTTAGCTAAGAATGGCAAATAAATAAATAAATGTAAAAATTACATAAATGGTCCCTGTGCTTAGCACCAAGTAATCTGGGAAGAATCCAAATATTAGATTGCAGTATGTGTATTCAGGGGTAGACCCTGATATTTGCTCTCGGTTAGAACCACCAATTGAAGAAGGTCTTGAGCAGGTTGATAAAGAAACTCCTCAATCACAAAGTTTGACTTTTGGGGTCAAACTCAAATATATGTTTAGTTCACAAGAGAAAGAGATATAAGTTGTTTCTACAGTTCATCTTGACAGGTGATAGTTATTATTATACTGCCTAAAAGTGATCCCGAACTCTCTTTACCTACGAAGGGTATTATTGTCCAGAGTAACAATAATGAAAGATTGGAAACCAAGGAGAAGTTAAAGGATGGGGTAACTATAAGGATTCAGCTCAAAAAGTGAAGGCTTTCAAATTGGGGAAAAATCTGGAACGGTCTTTGGTAAGGTTCTATTATGTGTGTGAAATCTAATGCAATTAAATGTTTGAGTGTATATATAAAAGTAATGCATTTATTGTCTTTCGTTGTCAAATATCTTTTAATCATGCTAAAATTGCGAATAAATAATCTATATGTCTCTGTTTATTTGCAACAGATGGTTTCATCAGTTTGAAAAAATGAGTAAGATGAAGTTGAAAGCATACATGCACATGGTAATAAGGTATGAAATGGAATAAATTTTGCTTTTAGGAAGTTTTATGAAGTTATTCTAAAATTGTTTTGTTAGAATTTTTAAACACATTGATAACTCTTACATGTTAGAAAATTACCATTGGGAAGACTTTAAAGACATTTCAGCCATCCGTTGTACATATTTTAGTTATAGATTTTAAGCAAAATACGTACAAGAATCCATTTATTGTTCTTCAGATCAAATACGAGATGAAGCCACATGTGTCATTTGCCTTATAAGAATTCAATTTTTACATTAAAATGTTAAAAAAAATTATATATATTTAGTTGATTTGGTTTAAAATTTTCAGGAAGAGTATGCGAATATGGATGATATTGGGATGTTAAAAGCTTGTGGCCATGGTTTTCATCTTGACTGTATCAAGAAATGGTTGTCTATGAAGAACTTGTGTCCCATTTGCAAAGGGGAACCTGTGAAGCAGAAATGAAAATAAACTTATTGTAAGATATTGTTATTGTAAATATTCCCGTTTTGTCCATCTTCTTTGGCGTTTCCATCCCCGCAAAGCGGGGTTCTTCCCTAGTTTATATCCAATTCAAAAGTGCAAGCAAACATGTTAAAAATTCAGTCAAACAGAAAATGATATTCCATTCTATCACTTTCTATCAAAACCAAATATCCACCATCAAAGCAACTGTGGCCATCAAGGATCTTGGTTGCACCGCCCAAGTTCGGCATACATATAATTAAATACAAGTTTGGCGACCAACCCATGACTTAAAGCACCCAGGAAAAATCCAAGTAATTATTTTAAACACTTTCATAGAATTTTGATAAGTTCTAAAGACAATTTTTTTAGTACCACTAGCGATTAGTTAAAAACCACTATGATATGCTATCGAGCCTCCATTGAAGTAATGGTCATATTGTTCAGAGAACAGTCCTGAGGCTTTCTTTCAGCTAATGTTGACTTCAATATAGTTCTACCAAACAAGAATGCTGGCTGTTTTGGGGCAGGTAAAGACATCGTATCATTGTTAAGCATAGAGATCACATCCGACATCACGGGTCTTTCCAATGCAATTTCTTGTACACATAAAAGTGCCACATGGGTAGTCCTCAACAATTTGTGTGTGACATGACTATTGGCTAGCGTTGGATCCTCAAACTCCAATGCATCCCCTTGTAGCCATAGCTCCCATGCCTAAAACCATTTCAAAATCTTGAATCATACTTCGACTTTTCAGGTCAAACGAATTAATTTTCTAATAGAATGGGCGTAAAATAAATTCATATTTCAGCTAAACTTACGTATCCGATTAGATTTACAGTCTTGTCAAGATGAGAGAAGGTAGTATTCCTTCTTCCGCTCACGATTTCTAAGGTCAAGACTCCAAAGCTGAAGACGTCAGACTTCACTGAGAAAGTTCCTTCCATTGCATACTCAGGAGACATGTAACCACTGCATAACATATTCCACATAGATTATGTACTTCAAGAATTAAACGTCACCCTTGGAAGGTATATATCAAGGTCTGGATGATCCCATCTTATTACCTCTTTCATATAGTTTTGATGTTAATTAAAAGATAATATGCCCCCACCCAATGCTCTATTTTAACAGATTGACTATGTAACAAATATCCAGCATAGATAAGTGAGGGAGAAATAGTGTTCTTACTATGTTCCAACCACCCTATTTGTCATTGCATGGGTCTCATTTTCCTTGAATATTCTCGCCATACCAAAGTCAGAAATCTTGGGGTTCATACTTTCATCTAACAAAACATTACTTGCTTTCAGATCTCTGTGAATAACTCGCATTCTTGAGTATTTATGCAGATAAAGCAAGCCCTGTGCGACCCCCTCGATGATGTTCCATCGTTTCGGCCAATCTAGCAGCGCCTTTCTTGTTTCCTCTATGCAAGTGTTTTAGCAACTCAAATAAAGCAGTTTTATATATCTCGAATTAATTCCAATCATCATAAACATAGTTTAATATATTTTCTTACCAAAGAGAAAGAAATCCAAACTCTTGTTGGACATGTACTCATAAACTAACATTTTTTCTTCTCCATGAACACAACAACCTAGAATACGGACAAGATTTGTATGTTGAAGTTTGGCAATAAGTACAAGTTCATTCTTAAATTCCACAAGCCCTTGTCCTGATGTCCTTGAAAGTCTTTTAATTGCAACTTCTTGTCCATCGCTAAGTTTCCCCTTTTCTCATAAGTACATAATATCTCATTTGTTTAGATGGTAAGGAATAAACTATTAACGGTTCTGAAAACAAGATCCATCTCAAAGATAAAGTACCTTATAAACAGGTCCGAAACCACCCTGTCCGAGCTTATTTTCACTTGCAAAGTCCTTTGTGGCTGCAACTATAGCAGCAAAGCTGAACACCATTAAGTCGCTTCCTTTTCTGCCATTGCGTTCGAGATTACTTGCATCCTTGAAGTTGTCTGAAGCTATCAACTCCAGGAAATATTCATCCTCTATCTTTTGTTTCTCTTCCTCTTCAATCAAAGTCATGTATGGCTTATAAGAAAGTGAAATCATTATATACAACACAATCATACCAAATTAAGCTTAAAGTGTCATACCTTCTCTTCTAAGCTTGCTCTTCTTAAGATACCAAAATAGACCAAGGCAAAAGAAAAGTAAAACACTGGCAGCAACAGCCGGTGCCCAAATCCTGATTTTAGCATTTCCTGCATATAATGATGTTGAAGCCACTACCCTTACTAAAACTTCAAATGCTTTAAAATTTAACCTATCTATCAATAAGGAAGGAGGGAGTCATGGTGAAATGGGTAGGAGGTACCTCCAAGACACCACTCCCTCCTAAGTGAGTTTGGAGGGTTGAGAGTGGTGGGTTGTTTATATGACTTCACTAACCCATTTCGTCCTCTTTCTCTCTCTACTCTCTCTCTTTCTATTTCTCCTATATCATGTGTTTTAAGACTTGTACCTTAGTTGTTTTGTATTTTTTTTAATTGAGTGGGTTAGAAAAGATAGGATTTCCATGTGTTGTGGGTTGGAAAAGATGGAAGAGAGAGGATAGAGAAGAAGCACATGTGGCAGTGGGTTGAATGATTGGTAGAGCATGACTACTTCCCTCCTCTCTAATCCAATATATGGGCAATATCAATACGAATCAAAAGTTTAAAAGTATGTTGGATTAAAGCAGTAAAAATAAATAACAAGTAATCCACAAACCATTGAATCATACAACATACAAACACATAACCCACAATCCATTGAATTAATGATCACCATTATTTACCTTTACCCAGATTTGGAGAAAGTAACACATACTTTTCCGCAGAGTCCATTGGCGTTTCGATTGAAAAGATATCAACTGATTTGATCCCGGTCCATGTAACACAGGCAGTTCCGTTGCTACTTGTGATAAATCCCACACAGTTGCAATCATTCCAGCACCTCACCATGCAATCACTCATACTCAGGCTTGTATTACTATCATACGACATTCTTGTCATGTGTCGATCAAAATCCCCCTTCAAGTATCTAAGTTTATCATTTTCGCTTCTACACTGAAGCGTATTAGAATCTGCTACACACCCATCCGAATCATACCCATAACAGAATGCAGGAGTCCAAACTGCAGCATTATCAACATCATGAACATAGCCACCGGAACTTAAAACCCAAATGGGTTGAACACCATTAATACCATGGAAACTGAAGTATCTCTCTTCTTTATTATATACAAAACTGAGATTGTACGTATATCGGCCATATGGACCATTCAAATGAAACATGTTTGGAAACCTTTGCTTATTTAGATTCCCACTGGTCCAGTAGGGTTGGCCTCCTCTTCGAATCACAAATCTCTGAGATGCTTTGTCAGTGGGTTCCCAACTCAGGGTGAAAGCACCCGAATCAGGGATTTCATAGCTGATCCAAGAAGTTAAGTTCCAGCTCCTCCCCGTCCTAAGGTCCACCCCGAGTTTCATACCTGGTAAAAGAACGTTTCTTGGATAATCAAAACTCTTCCACAGAGTCCGGCTGTCAAGCTTGTTTTTCACCAGAAAATTACCGTTGTCTTCAAGAGTTGCTGCCAAATTTAAACTAGGACCAATCGGATATATTTACAAGAGTTGTTCCTCTCGAGGAAATGATCAATTTCCCAGTGTCAGGATTGATCATGAGGACCACAGAGCTGGACATGATCGGTATGGATGGATTTCCTACCCATACTTTTTCGTTGGAGTTCCTGGTGTACCAAACTCCTAAATAAGTGTGCTTGCTGGTAGCGGAAGTGGTAAAGAATCCCAACGTGAAGCGCCTGCCAGGGGAAAGAAGCTGAGAAGTGAGGTTGAGTTGGTCTCCAACTTTGATCGTTGAAACACCAACTGCCGGAAAATAGTTTATGATTAGGTTCGTATGTAGGATTATAAAGAAGACGAGAGTTATCATTCTTCAATAATTCAAAGGAAATAGAGTTACTTGAGTTTAAATTTTTAGACTTCGGTGCGTTATTATAGGGTTTTGATAAATCAGCAGCCAACATCGACTATTTCGCTTTGCTTATGGACTTTAAAGAAATACAGAGTCAAAAAATCATTTTAATAATGTATACCATGAAAGAGACGGTCAAAACACCGGCTTCCTCATCGCCGGTCATCATGACACCATCGGAGTAGTTCTCCTTCACTACCCAAGTACCCTTCAACAGCATAGTTCCATACCAGCAGCACCGGCACTCAGCCCATCTGACCACCTATATCTGCCAATCACAAGTAATGTCGGCATCGGACTACTACGCGTCCTTCACGGCCGAAAAAGCTGATGCAATAACTGCCAATGTCTTTGTCCGCGGCAGTCCATCGACATTGAATTGGGGGGAATTTAGAATAAAATATGTAAATGATACAATATGTTGTCACTGTTTGATGTCAATTAGCCTATGCATTATTTAGTAATTTACTAACCCTAAAATAACTATAAATATAATTATATGTTATTGTAGTATTTAAAATTTATTATAGATATAATATATTACAAGATCATCTTTTCATGTTAAATGCTCTAGAAAGCAATCTGATCATAAAAAACAAAACAAGAAATATACCCAACTTTTGGTTTGGTGTTATCTATAGACACTCTTATGTAAATTACTATAAAGTATTCGTTAGAGCATCGATCATCAATAATAAAGAGTGTTTTTTCGTGTAGTTTTAGTAGAAGAGTTTAAAATTAAAAAACTTATTTTATCTTCTTAATATAATAGTCTTTTAAAATATATATATATATATATATATATATATATATATATATATATATATATATATATATATATATATATAGAGGTTCATATGAGACAATAGTATTTTGTCTCATATATATATATATATATATATATATATATATATATATATATATATATATATATATATATAGGTTCATATGAGACAATAGTATATATAGGTTCATATAGGGTTAGGTTCATATGAGACAATAATATTTTGTGAGACAAGGAGACCAAATCTTGACCACTCATCTTGAATAATCAAAGACTTAAATTAAATCAGATTAAACCACAAGGAACCACAAGTAGGCGGTGACATTTTTGTAATTAAATGGAACTCTGGGATTAGAATAAGGCACGGAGGGGCAGAAATGGAATTTTACAATCTATTTCATTCAGGTCATAAAAAACATGCAGTGTACTTCTAAATCTTCTTCATTCTGATTCATAAAACTCTAACCTCGATACGAACACTAAAATCCATTTGATTCAATCTCGTTTGATTCAATCTTGATCATCAACATCTTATGTTTCCTTCAGATTCGAATTTGAATGCTCTGATTTTATTTACCTTTCATTCTGATTTTGATTCTAAAATCGCTCGAGCACAAATTGTTCCTGAATCAAAAGAAATCCAAATTTATTATTCGAACAAATGGATGCAGAATCGGCTTCAGCTTAAGTCATTTCAGGTAATGTATGATAGTATAATTTATCTACATCATGATTCAAACCTTTCTTCATTTTTCTCACGCACAAAACCCTCCGCCTCGATGAACACTAAAAATCCTTTTTTTTTTCCTGATCTACAGTCTCGATTGAAGAACTGGTAAATCGAGATTAAGTTTTTCTTTCAACCATCAAATTCCTATCATGCTTAAACATTGTGATTAACCTTATTCTGATTACATGAGAGATTTACGATTGAAGAACCCTAAAAATCCTCTTATTCACTCTGATTAATATTTTCTACTTTGTGATTCTGATTATGTTCCCTAATCAAGCTTTCAATCACCTAACATTACAGAATCAAAGAAATTGGATCAAGATCTCAAGAATGACTAGTTCAACATAATCAGATTCAGGTTCTAATTCTCATATAATATCTCTTTTTTCTACTTCACTTCATATCTACTCCAAATAACTAGAATTTTCTTTTTTCTGTGTCAATGAAGTTAAAGGAAATGTGAATAAACCATGATATATCTTTTTGTATATAACTTTCTTTAAATTTTGAAATTTGAATGTCTAATATTCTACTGATTCTATGAATTTGTAATGAGAATGCATAATATTCTACATATCTGCACCAGTTAAACACCTTGTAATCCTACATTAACCTTGCAATTCCATGAAGTACAATATGCTAGATATTTTAAAATATGAATGTGTGATATTTTTATTATTCTATAAATTATAATGTGGAATGTATAGTATTCTACATATGTTAATATAATATATTATATATTCTGCATATTTTCTGTGGAGTGTGCAATATTTTGCATATGTTAGTATAATAGTCCTTTGCTAAACAGGTTGCAAACTGATGATTAATTTCTAAAATATTCAATGAATTGAATGTGTGATAGCATATTCTACATATTTGAACCAGTTAAAGTCTTGGATTTCTATATAAACCTTGAACTTCCACACAGTACAAAATCCTATATATTTTAAAGTATGAACTGTTATTACGTGATAGTCTAATAAGTCATAATGTACTTCTTAATTTGATATAGATATTACTTTGTTTGATTATTTCGAGGATCGAGTAAAAATATTAGTAAAATAGTGTTTGGTAACTTAATATTCTAGGTATTCTGATTTGTTAAGTTAGATGTTACTTCATAAATTTGGTTTCAAATATTAGTTTATTGATCAATCAGATGTTACTGTTTACTTTGATAAATCAGAACTAATTTATACACCAATGACTTTATTGTGTAAAGTTAAACTCTATTTGTAGAAGAATTTAACATTCTATATTTTCTTTTATCATAACTTGATGTATTATTCAAAGAATAGTTCTTTATACTTTATTAGGAGAATGTATAATATTAATTATTAATAAAATGAAGTATATGGTTAATAATGTTAATACTATAATATACTAGAGTTTATTTTATCATAACTTTATGTATAATTCAAAGAAATGTTCTTTATATTTTATTTGGAGAGTCTATGATGTTGATTATTATTAGAATGTAGTTTACGCTTTATAATAGCAATATTCTAGTTTTTATAAAGTATTTTATAAACAAATTCATGTATTATTCTGGTTTATGGTATTTAGTGTGAATATTCTAGTATTTTGTTCTAGTAGAAGCATGATGTATGTTTTGATGCATATCAAATGACAAGAATGACTCAATCAAGAGCAAAATATGTTTTTAATTTGATACTAAAATTAAGAAAACAATGATAATTCAAGTGATAGATCTTTATCAGAACGTGAAATAAAGGACAATGTATAACATTAAACACATTAATGTATATGGATATTTGACATAAATACTCTATGTTAACATATTATTAAGTGTTATATTCTTCTTTTCACGATGTTGATTATTCTCAGAATATACATATTTTTATATTTGATTTTATATTAAGTTATGGAAATAATGCATTTGTTTTAGTTTTAATAAAGTTATGATATATGTTTGAATGCAGATAAAATAAGAAGAAAAAAATATTGAAGAACCTACATCATTTGGAAATCTTGATAAAGAAACTTGGTATAAGATGAAGCGGGAAGAGATTGATGGAAAAAAAAGCATAAGAAGGTATCCAAAAATAGAATTGATGGAAGTTTGGAAATGTGTGGCGGTGAATGAAATTCTTAGAATGTTACAAAACATTTGATTTTTGTTATTACTTAACTGTAGTCTGTATATTTTGGGTATTTTGTTCTGATAAATATTTGTTTACATTGATTTTACTTTTCATGATGCGGCCAAATTGGATGGTAACCTACATATAAACTAATTGATGAAGCTAAGGAGTTTGCAAAATCTGACCGACTAAAGCATCTTAACCTGGTGTATGAAGCGATGCAGTGAAATGAAGATTGTTGAGTGAAATGAAGATTGTTGATCGAATTGATAAAATATTTGCAAGAATTTAATGGTTAATGAATTTGGAGTCTTTTTCTCTTTGAATATTGGCTATATTTTCTATATTTTGATTAACATGTATGGTTGAATGCTTGGTAAATAATAGTGTTATGGTTTGAATGTTTAAAGATTGGTGAATATTTCATAAAACAATATTGTAGTTGAACAATAGTTATGTTTTAAATGGTAATACATGTAATTTTGTAGTTTATGTTGTGTAACGGTAGTAATATTTTTCACATATTAGACGAGTTTAAAATTAAAGTCTTTATGTAAAAAAATTCATCAGAATAATATTGTATGTTTTATGTTATAATAAGTATATGTATAATATTCTAATAGAATAATTTTATATGTTGTTTGTTATGGTGAATTGATGTTTATGTCTTTTTTAGAATTTAAGTCACTATTCAAGGTAAATTTTATAAGTAGAGTGTATGATGGTTAAAATCATTAGAATGTTGTAGTTTATGATGTATGATGGTTATAATCTAATAAAATAAAGTTATAGGTTTTTATAATCTATATGTAAAATATTTTAATCGAATAATATTCTATGACATTCTAAGTTATATGCTAGATATTCTAATACAACAATGCCTAATTAAATTTTGGCTTTTTTAATACTCAATGATATGATATTAATCTAGTTATTCAAAATATTCAATATTTTTATAATGTCTTGTTAATATATATAATATTATGAAGTTATTTGTAATATTATGAAATTTAAGTATAGTATTCTAAAATTATATTGTACTTGTACAATTAACTTACATTATGTAAGATTCTAATATTATATGTAATATTATGTAATATTCTGAATTTACAATTTCTAGTGTTAAAGGAATATATAGAATAGTCTACAGAAAAAAATTTATTTATAGAAAAGAAAAGTTTATAATGTTAATGTGTAATAATCTGAAAGATTGTAATATGATGCAATATTATATTATAAGATGAAATATTCTAATTCAGACCATCATTCCCTTCAAGTGTGTAGGAAACCAAATAATATGTAGGAACCTAGACTAATGAACTTTTTAAACCAGTAAGAAATATATAAGTTTATAAAATGAAATGAATACTTTTAGGATAAATATCAAACTTTTCTTTGGAAGTTGAAACGCATTCTAAAAACCTCATATATTAAAAACCAAATTTCAAGTTTGTATTATAAAAAATATATCACAAGGTTACAATATTTAATAATATGTTGTTAATTGATATGTAATATTATGAAATTGTATGGAATATTCCGATATTAAAGTGTAATATTCTAAATTATGTTATAACATATAATATGAACTTATATTACATAAGATTCTAATGTTATATTTAATATTCTGAATATACATAACATTCTAACAGAATAATTTAATTAGGTTGTATATATTTAAGTTACAACTTAATATTCTTATAGAATAATGCTATAGGTTGTTTGTAGATGTAGAACATTCTAAATAGAATGTAACACTAAATGATTATATGAACATCAA